AACTGTAGGTTGTGACTTGTAAGAGCATCATAAAAATCAATTCAGGGAGTCACAATGAGATTTGTTTCTTAGTCCTTGTTAGCAAAGTAAGGTTTCTTCTACTAGATCATGTTTTTATTTTTTTTAAAAAAGAAACAAAACTAGAAGGACAATATACTAGACATAGAGTGCCAATCTTCCATTGCAACATCTAAAGAGGAATATGGATACAGCCTAACATTCTGAATGTATAACATTAGAATTTTAAACAGAAGTTAAAGCTGGAGATATATTTTGCAATTATAGGCAGAAAGATTTTATTCGAAATCATGAGAGTGGATTAAGTCACCTAGGAAAAAAGTATGGAGTGAAAAAAGAAAGAGGTCTGAATAGACCCCAAGGCAGTATGGACATTTGATCTTGGGAGAGAAATCTCTGTTCGGGACTGTGCTTATCCTTTATGTATTCTGGTATTTTTTGTTTACTCTCAAGAAAGAGAATAACAGCTGGATCAACTGGATCCGGGTAAGCCCCAGTGTGCTGCAAAGGGGTTTGCAAACACATGCTGGTTAGGGGGGCTGATTTTGCAGCAACCTGGCAGCATGGGGCCTGGCACCACACTGACACTCAGAATGTGTGTAAGGAATGACTGGATAGAGCAGAAAAGTACTTATAACAGAGGGAAAGAAACCTTTATACTTCAGAGACTAAGCTCTAGCTCACAAGCTTTGATCATAGGAGGAATCTAACTCTGTATGAGCCATGGATAATGCAGCAGCTTTGGGTGCCATTTATAATTTTCCAAGAGTATTTTTTGCTGAATAGAAAAATGGCAACAAAGGATGGGAGCTGTGCAGGACGATGTGCTTCCTGTAGCACTATGTATAACAGCAAAACCAAGAAGCAAACAAAACACTCATACACAAGAGAACGGGCAAATCATGTAGAGTCAAGCAATGGAATATAGCGTAGTGAAATGAATGCGTTAGATCTATGTGTATCAATCTGGGTAAATCTCCAAAACTTCACAGTACATGAGAACATTCAAGACACAACAAGTTATATAAAAGACAATATTATTTATTGAAAATTTAAAATCCACATAAAATTATACTATATATTTATATAGGAAAACAAATAGAAAGTTACGTAAGTGAAGGGAGCACACCAACTTCCAGGCAGTAGTGACAGAGTAATGGAATGGATGGAGGAGTGGGACTGTAGCTCACTTTGTATTATTTAATTTTTAAAAAAGAAGTAGAAGCAAATATAGTAAAATATGAATAGTTATTAAATAAGCTGGGGAGGCATGGAACATATTTTCAATTTTTTTCATAATTAAAAAGAAATATGAATTTTGCAATGCTCAGAGCAGGAATCAGAGTTTCTCCTCAGATCTCAGGTAGAGCAAACGACCTGCAAAGCAATTACTAAGGGAAAGTGTCATACACACACACATACACACACACATATGCAAATATACACATGTATCTGCATATCCATATATATGTTTATACATATATATACACATATGCACATGCACATTAAAGCAAGCTTTTAGTTTTTTATTAGAAGAAAATTGGCCTTATCCTATATCTCTTCAGTTTCCAGAAGACAAAACTTTTTGCTTTTTTAGATTTTTGCCTTAGGGCGTGTGTGCTTGCCAGAGAGAGACAGAAAGTTACAGACACAGTTGTGGCCATGCCACAACTCCTTTGCCATTTTCCTCTTGTGATTTTAGGTATGCATGCACATGCATCCAGCATATTTTTCAAGCCACCGAATCTGTGACCTGAACTGTGAAATTGGCCATAAGAGATCCAGCCATTTTAACCATCACACCACCTACTGGCCCGCATGAGATAAAACTTCAATGTTGTGGGACCCTCACCCTTTTCTGAACCATGTACTAACCAGGTACTGAATTTACAGAAGATAGGGACCATCTGTGTCTTACATTAGGATGACAGTCATAGAGTGATTGGGGTAGAGAAGAGCAGAGGAAATCCTTAGTTGTTGGGAACTGCTCTAATGTAGTACTGGAAGGATGTGGCCTGAGGAATTACAGAAAGCCTGAAAGAGCAGCCCACTGAAGCCTGACTGGAAACAACAATAGCAGTCAGGGGGCTTGGTTCAAGTCCTAGGTCTTTCATTAACTACATGTGAGGACCTGAGAAGTGTTTGCTCTCTTTGGGCTTCCACCCAATATGACTTCCACTGGCTTGGCCGATCTCTCAGATCCAGAGATGACGGACTGACTTTTCTATCCTTTTGTTCCTCCCATGCCAGAACATTCAATGGTATTCCGGGGATTCTGGAAGGCTCCCTGGTTGAATAAATGCAGGACTTTTCTCTCAGCACTGTCTCCCATTAGTGCCTGTACATTCCAAACCCTTTCTGAATACTGGACTATTCTCTGAGTCATCTTTTATGTGACTGGGGGATTCTGAAAAGGAATTGAGTTACAGGAGATATCAGTGGGTGAAGGGGAGACCACTTTATCTTCATGTGGATGAAGATAAAGTTACCAAGTATGGAGAAAGAAGTCATGTGGGTTTTTCCAAGGGTAGTCTTGTAATGTTTTGGATTTTTATTTTTCAACTCACCCCTCATGTTCCTCTATAAGTTCTGCAAGTACACTGTGTGTGTGAAGGATGATGGGGAGATGTGGAGGAGGGAAGGGAAGGGAGGAGGGTGGAATCTGTAAGCTCTGGTTGAGTTGTTACCGGTGAGGTGTATGTTTCAGGTAGCCTGGGTTCTCAGTTAGATAGAACCTTTGTTTTACCTGCATAGATGGTGTCACTTGTTCATTTCATTTCTAGGTGTTGGTTAACCTTCTAAGGTAACAGAATTATAGTTTTAAACTCCTTGGCGTATTTATTCTCTAGGAATCTATCAGTTGCATTATTAATGATTATTCTACTTTCTATATATATTTTTATACTATTCTTTGAAATTATGTGCCCCTTGCATCTTTAGTTGTTGGCTTTTTGAGCATTGCTTGACAGAGACCGAGATGAGGAATCACTCACAAGGCAAAAGTCAGGTACCTATGCTCAGAGGATGATTGGTGAAAAATGAAAATGGAATTTTTCTTGAGTTAAAATGAGAGACAGAAAATTTGTTTTGTTTACACACATTTAGGGTGTGTTTTTTTTTTCCCCAAGAATGCATACATTGGTTTAAACAGGATTTATTTTTCACTGGTTCTACACAGGACATAATTCAAATGCTTGATGTCCTCTTATTCTCTGGGTTTGTGTCAGAATCTGTCTGTTTTGACCATGTACCACTTGGCTTGCTCCTCCCAAAGAATTTACTCATAGAGTTAAAGAGAAATGAGATTTTACTGAATATTTCATAGAGGAGATCTAGGAGAAGGCTGACATAGCAGGCTGCTCAGAAAATGACATAAAATTTTTCCCTAGCCATTTTTGCTTTCCCAAGTCCCTCTCATTCATACTGCCACTGCTGCTCTTTATTTATTTTTCTCCAAAATATTGTCTAGACCTTCTCTTACATACTTTGCTGGATTCCTATTCCTTTTCTCTCTTCATGAAAAAAAAGTGCAAGTTTTGCTCCAATATCTTGCTTAGCAGTTAAAGGTTCTATCTTTCCTTACTGAAGTATGACCTCGGGGGCTTGCACTTCAATGCCAATGGCCTGTCAAAATCATGAAACCAATAAAGTGCTCTTCTGATGGTGGTGTAGAGATCTCAGTTTGGAGGTTGCTAGAGAAATCTGATGACTACCCAAACTGGAGGAGGAGATAGCCTTTGCTCAGAAGGTTCTCACCACTTTCAGGATCATCATTGTTTATCGGCAACTTTCTGGGAATTCTCCACAAAACTGGTTTTCTGAGAGGTGTTTGAAGCAGGGAACAGAAATACAGGAGATGAAAGCAGCTATTCCCTGGCTAAATGACTGCATCACCTTGACCACTGGACGCTGATTACATGTTTAAGAACATAAACACTCCTGACACTATCTTGACAGGCAATGAAAGCTATCTGCTGCCAACTTGTGGTCAGTCTTAACTGGAGTGGCATGAGCCCTGGTCAGATGGTTTTCCAGTACCCAGATGGCTCCTTAGACTCTGGGTGATCAGTTTAGAATTCCCTTCTATGACATCTCTTGGATCTTGCAGTTTGCACTTTTTGGAAGGCACTCTGAACCTTGTCTCTATATTCTGACTTAGCTGAGATGACACAGAGCTATGTGCTATGTCTACCATTTTTTTTTTTTTTATTTGTAGGTAAGTCTTTCTTTTGGTCAGGGGCTTCCAGAACCCTACATAGATTCTTAGTGCACAAGTCCGATCTGAGATACATAAGACTTTGAAGAGAGTCAAGGCCAGGCCTCTCAACCCTTGCCTTTTTAAAGACCTGGATTCTAAGTTCCTGAGAGGGGTGGATGTAGTGAATTTGTCTAATTTTATGTTGCTTCCATTTTATGTACCATTTCACTTTCTTGTGGCAGAAGCAGGGCTCGGCAACCCTTGACACATTCTCAGTTCTACACCACACCTAGCTGGTTAAAGTCTGTGGCCAGAGATAAGGACTTAGAGCCAAAAAAAAATCTTTCCCTCTTAACAGGCTGGGCTCACCAATTATGGGAATGCTTCCTTTAAATGGACCATTCGGGCTTTTGCCCTCGAACTTAAAGTGACCCTCACCCGATTTCCTTATATTTTCTTCTAGTTCCCAGGTGTACTTGCTTTCTCTTCCTGACACTTCATTCCTG